GTGCTCATTACGAATATGGCACTTATTACTAAATCCAAGATGGCGGGCATGATTTTTCGAAAAATGGCAAGTTGGGTATCGTTTTCGAGGTATTTGGGGGTGGTCATTACGAATATAGCACTTATTTGTAAATCCAAGATGGCGGACACGATTTTTCAAATAATTGCAATATGGGAATCATTTTCAAGGTATTCGGGGATGATCCTTACGAATAGTGTTGGGCATTAATCAATTACATTTCAATCAATAATTCAATCAGATTAAAAAATCAATTCAATTGAAATCAATTGATTTTAATTGCAATTGATTTCAATTGAATTGAATTTTTCAATTAAAATCATCATTTTTTAATTTGCAATTAAAATCAATTCCGGCCGGTTGGGGGCCCGGTTGAGGGCCCCAGTTGGGGCCTTAGTTGGGGGCCCAGTTGGGGGGCCGGTTGGGGGCCCCGGTTGGTGTGCCCGGTTGGGGGCCCGGTTGGGCCCCGGTTGGAGGCCCGGTTGTGAATCCCGGTTGGGGGCCCGGTTGGGGGGCCCGGTTGGGACCCCAGTCGGGGGCTTCGGTTGGGGGCCTGGTTGGGGGCCCCGTTTCAGGCCCCGGTTGGGGGGCCCTCTTGGGGGCCCGGTTAGGGGCCAGCTATGGGCCAATTAAGGGGCTTGCTGGCCCCCAGCCGGGGCCTCAAACCGGACCCCAAGAAGGGCCCCCCAACCGGGCCCCCAACCGGGTCCCCCAACCGGGCCCCCAACCGGGCCCCCAAGAAGGGCCCCCAAGCGGGCCCCACAAGCGGACCCCCAACCGGGCCCCCAACCGGGCCCCCAACAGGGCCCTCAACCGGGCCTCCAACCGGGTCCCCCAACTGGGGCCCCCAACCGGGGCCCCCAACAAGGCCCCCCAACCGGACCCCCCAACCGGGCCCCCAACCGGCGCCCCCATTACCAACGCCCTAACTCACCCCCCTATGCCCTATAAATTTATCATAATTGTCAGTTTTAATTGTTAATTGTTAATCAAAAACATTGAACAGATTGATATTGATTCCAATCCAGAGATCCAAGATGGCGGGCATGATTTTTCGAATAATGGCAAGTTGGGTATCGTTTTCGAGGTATTTGGAGGTGCTCATTACGAATATAGCACTTATTTGTAAATCCAAGATGGCGGACACGGTTTTTCGAATAATGGCAAGTTGGGTATCGTTTTCGAGGTATTTGGGGAGGCCCATTACGGATATTTCACTCATTTCTAAATCCAAGATGGCGGACATGATTTTTCGAAAAATGGCAAGTTAGGTATCGTTTTCGAGGTATTTGGGGGTGCTCATTACGAATATGGCACTTATTTGTAAATCCAAGATGGAGGACACGATTTTTCAAAAAAATGCAATATGGGAATCATTTTCGAGGTATTTGGGGACGCCCAATACGAATATATTACTCATTTCTAAATCCAAGATGGCGGGCATGATTTTTCGAACAATGGCAAGTTGGGTATCGTTTTCGAGGTATTTGGGGATGCTCATTACGAATATAGCACTTATTTGTAAATCCAATATGGCGGACACGATTTTCTAAATAATTGCAATATCGGAATCATTTTCGAGGTATTTGAGGATGCCCATTACGAATATATCACTCATTTCTGAATCCAAGATGGCGGGCATGATTTTTCGAAAAATGGCAAGTTGGGTATCGTTTTCGAGGTATTTGGGGGTGGTCATTACGAATATAGCACTTATTTGTAAATCCAAGATGGCGGACACGATTTTTCAGATAAATGCATTATGGGAATCATTTTCGAGGTATTTGGGGATGCCCATTACGAATATATCACTCATTTCTAAATCCAAAATGTCGGGCGTGATTTTTTGAACAATGGCAAGTAGGGTATCGTTTTCGCGGTATTTGGGGGCGCTCATTACGAATATAGCACTTATTTGTAAATCCAAGATGGCTAAAAAGATTTTTCAAAAAAATGCAATATGGAAATCATTTTCGAGGTATTTGGGGATGCCCATTACGAATCTATCACTCTTCTCTAAATCCAAGATGGCGGGCACGATTTTTCGAATAATGGCAAGTTGGGTATCGTTTTCGAGGTATTTAGGGGTGCTAATTACGAATATAGCACTTATTTGTAAATCCAAGATGGAGGACACGATTTTTCAAACAAATGCAATATGGGAATCATTTTCGGGGTATTTGGGGATGCCCATTACGAATATATTACTCATTTCTAAATCAAATGCAATGCTCATTACGAAAAGGTCATTTCTAAATCCAAAATTGCGGGCGTGATTTTTAGAACAATGGCAAGTTGGGTATCGTTTTCGATGTATTTGAGGGCGCTTATTAGGAATATAGCACTTATTTGTAAATCCAAGATGGTGTAGCGGATGCTCGGAGAGTTGTTAGTTGGAGAAGTGAATCGCTCGATGTCTAGCTCGCAATTAACATTTATTTCGAAATCAGCCCCTACCTTTATACAG